AAAGACCCTGATGCTGGGAAAGATTGAGGGCAGGAGGAGAAGGGGACGACAGAGGATGAGATGGTTGGATGGCATCACTGCCTCAATGGACATGGGTTTGGGTGGACTCGGGAGTTGGTGCTGGACAGGGAGGCCTGGCGTGCTGAGGTCCATGGGGTCGCAAAGAGTTGGACACGACTGAGCAATTGAACTGAACTGAACTGAACATTAGGCAGAGGGTCACGAAAGGACAGCATGAAGGAAACTTGTACATGAGCTCTGATTGTACCACCACCTAATTTTAAGGCTTAGAAAAAACTGAAAGGCAATAACTTACGAAAAATAGGAAATGTAAACGAGCCACAGCAGAAGAGATAGATGAAATTAGAGAAGACCGAATATGAGATCCAGTATTAATCTAATATCCTGTTTCCTAAATTTTAGGTTTCTGGAATACTTAGGCATTCTGTATCATTCTTTAAACATGTACATTTTACAAAAGTCCTTGTATATATTCTCAGCTTGTTATAAATAGAAAAGCAATATAAAAGAGGAGTGATATGGAAACATGGGGCTTGGTAAAAAATCCCCTTGCAATGCAGGGGACACAGGAGACAGGGGTTTGTTTCTTGGGTCAGGAAGATCCCCTGGAGAAGGGCATGGCCACACACTGCAGTATTCTTACCTGGAGAATCCCATGGACAGAAGAGCCTGGAACTCTACAGTCCATAGGATCGCAAAGAGACAGACACGACTGAAGTGACTTAGCAAAGAGACGGACACAACTGAAGTGACTTAGCACGCTTGCATGAAAACAGAACAATTACCCCAAGTTCACTAAAAGCTTGATCCTGATTATGGGCTACTTGATGCTAAGTAATAATTTGATGGTGACCCATATCAGAATAGGTTCTATCCAGGGAGAAAATCAGAAAAAGAGAGGACACAAGAGTAGGGATGATATAACAGGAAAGGACAGAGAAAGCAAAGGGAGAAGATTGAGAAAAAGAATACAAGGAAGAAATTCAAAGAAAAAGCAGGAAAAAAAATGAAGACATATTAAAGATGTGACAAATGCCAGGCATTATGTTACAAGTGTTTACTTGCTTTATTTAATGCTCACATCAGTATTGTGAAGAAGATATATTTGTTTGCACTTTAAAAATGGTGAAGCTATTGCAGAAATTAAATATGCAAATATTTGGAAGGGAAGGAGAGAGGGAAAGAGGAAGGAAGAAAAAGGAGAATTTAAAAAAGGAATAGAGGAAGGGAGAAAGGGAGGAAGAGAAGGAAGTTAGAAGGGAGAAAGGGAGGAAGAGAAGGAAGTTAAAAAGGAGAAATGAAAATAAGATAATGTTATTCTCCAGCAATGTTTATGAAAAAATAAAAACTTAAGCACTGTTCTCTTTTTTTAGGCAAAAATGACTTTCAAAACTATAACTGTAACTATAAATTTTTTTCTATGTACCTATGAGAGTTAAAAACCCAGATAATTTAATTTTTTATTTTGAAGCTGTTGAGGCAAACAATAATTTGTAATTCATCTAAAGATCTAGAACTGCCTAATGCATAGCCTCTTTGAATGATATTATCTAGTTTACCAAATTCTTAAGCCAACTTTTTGTACTTAAGCTAAGACCCCCATGAGGAATCAACTATGAGTGACCTTTACCTCATTTGAAAACCAGGAACAGTGAAGTTCAGGGAGGTTACAAAAATCCTTAGGCATTAGCACGTGAGCTAGACAAGAGCTCAAACATGCTTCTTTCCATCTTTTCATATCCTTCATTAATTTATCTCTTCCATGATTTTCCCCCTTGGATGTTTAAACTCTGTGTTCATCATACGCTTACAAGGATTTACTAAGTTTATGTAGAATTGAGAAGAACAAATTAATGGTGTTAAAAATTCTATTGCCTTTGCTAATTATATTAGTATGTGTTGCATAGGAGGAGGAATCTGTGAACATTCAATATGAAAAGAAAGAGTGATACTGTGAAGCTAAGTATGCAGGTGGGGATTTGCTCAGTTTCAAAATTCGACTCTCATGTTGCTGTCAGTACATTCTGGTTCACATTAGCTCTGCTCATGCACAATTGCTGAAAGAATGAGTTGCACTGCTGGGCTTAATGGAGAGATAATGATTTGCATTTGGGGTGGCAATTTTGAAATCAAATATGAAAAGAGACTTTGTTTGTCCTTTGCAGTTTCGCCCCAGTGTGGGGCCATAGGTCATCATAATTTTTGTGGGGTTTTTTTTGTTTTTTTCTTTTTTCTGTTGGCTTAATCAGTATTCTATAATATCAAGCAACTAACTTCTTTTAGCATTATTTCTCAGTTGCTATGAAACAAGCTTATGGATTTGCAAAATGCTGTGTTCTCTAGAGTTCTTTGCAAGGGTCCATTCTAAGCGTCTGAGTGTGTTTTATCAGGCGTAAGCACAGCTGGGCACACACGGTAAGGTGTGGCCCCTGCCCTGAAGATGGGTGGGAACAAGACACAGGGAAGGGCTGGAATGACTCGTGAAAAGTTTAGGGGAGCAGAGGGCCGTGTGTCTGATTGGCACTGTAAGCCTCTGGGGCAGGCATGTAATAAGTCCCTGACGTGTTTGTAAGAACAAAAGATTCCTTTCTGAAGTATTTTATGTATTTTATTTAAGTATTTATTACTTAAGTATTTAAGCATTTTATTCTGAATTCCTTTTATGATTTCCAGAAATAACACAATCAACAGAAAACTGGAACTTTGATAAGGTAAATTATAAAACCCAAGTCACAGATCGCTATTACTTGGCAGAGCTGGATCATGTAATGTAATTACCCCATCGGCACTTCCGTGTCATTCGAAGCTGGAAATACAAACGCTGTCTCTGCTTTTGTTGTCTCTAATTTACCCCCAGTTACGACCCTATCCTACACACAGTGGAGATTTTCTGAATGCTCGTATTATAATGGAAGGGATGAACGTGTCAATTTCTCTAGATCAGACCTTGCAAAGTTGGCCCTCCTGAAAAAAAACTTTTGGATGCCCCTCTGTACCTTTTGGAGAGGAAATGGCAACCCACTCCAGTATTCTTGCTGGAAAATCGCGTGGATGGAGTAGCCTGGTAAGCTACAGTCCGTGAGGCTGCAGAGTTGGACACGACTGAGCGACTTCACTTCACGTCACTTCTGTGCCTTTTTGCCAGTAATCCGATCAGAGACAGGCAAGCACTTCCTTTGATGTGACCCCTCCAGGCCCTATTCTGCAGGTGGCTCAAGTTCATATCTAGATGGTAGTGTTCTTTAACAAATTCAACAAGCATTTGTTGAATATCTGCAATGTGCCAAGAACTGTGATAGGCAATGTGGATATAATAGAAACTGCTGATATATTGGGTAAAAAAGTTGAACGGGGGAAGCATTTCAGTGAAATGATACTTGTGTCTGAAACATCTTTTAAGATGAAGGAACCAAAAGAACATCAGCGGAGGTGGCCCGACGGTCAGAGAATCACTTCCAGTTCTTTCGGGGCACCCATGCTCTGTTCTTCCTTCTGGTCTTTACACTGTCTCTAGCTTTATTCCATATCTGGATGAAGGTTTCTGCCCCTTGGATAAGCCTTGAAATCCCTCTGCCTGTCCCAAATTTACCTTGATTTGTCTACCTGGTTCCTGACCTGAACTATCTAGAGCATCTGTGACCTAGAGGCAAAGCCCAGAAGACAGCACAGTGGGTCCCGTGTCCCCATCACACACTCCCGACAGCCATCACCACTTTGTTCTCCTTGTTTTAGCTAGCCTCTCCCCACTCGCCCACTCCACTCCCAGCAAATTGTAAGCATCATAGTATTTCACTTGTGAATAATACGCTGGGTACCATTATCAACAAGAACTTTCCCCTGCTTTTGTTTTTATCACCTTATCATTTAAGAATTTTTGGTACAAGTCCTTATAGCAAAGATTGGTAACTAAGAAAGCTTCCATCAGTAACAGTTGGCAGTGCTCAAAATCACTCCTTTTGATTCAGGGTCATTCAGGTTAAGTCATTTATTTCTTTTGAGTGAGAATTTCCCTAGATGGTTAACCTCAGTCTCTTACAGAAATCCTTTGTTGGACTAACCCTTGATTCCATATTTCTCAGTCATTTACTGAATCCTTGAAGAAATATCTCTCATATTCTTAAACTGGAAATTCTGTGTCATAAAAATTTAATGCAGTGACATATTAATTAGGACTTTGTGGTTAGAAATAATAGTGGGAAACAGACAAACAATTTCTTGGAAGTGACGTTGGGGGAGTCAAATCTTGTCCTCAGTTGTGACTTGCTGCACATTTACATGTAAAAAATATCCCATCTTTGCCTGGTGGGTGGAGACAGGGGGAAGGATCTTCCTGGGGAAAGAGTGTGAAAGAAACATTGACATCGGGTTCTGTCCAGTGCTCTGACCTATGACTGGCAAGGGGCAATCTGATGTGACGTAAATATTAGATGGTGACAAATAGCAGTGACATTTTGTCAGAAGCAAAGACATGACTCAGACCCAGAAACATGGCAGAGGTGAGTGGCAGCATTTGGTGATAAATGGCTCGAATCTGACAGTGTGCTTCACTGCATGGACCTTCATCCATCACAAAGATATTTTAAAAAATCACAGAATACCCAACACTCAAAATGGGTGACAGGAGATGGGAGCTGAGAAAAAGACAAGTCAGAGGCAGTGACAAAGACAGAGAGCCTGAATTGCAAAATAGTGACTCGTTTTTATTTTAAGATTCCCATTTTTCACTATTTTCCACTCCATAATTCAAAAGTGCATCCTGCTGATCTTTTGCCCCAAATAACAAAAACAAAGAGTGTTGGGGAAGCAAGTGGTTGAAGTTGTGACCTGAGCCCAAAACCTAATCATCAATCACCTAAGCATTTTTAAATTTTTTAAAAAGCATTTTAATACATATTAAATATGTATGTATATATGTAAATATATAATATGCCGCTGCTGCTACTAAGTCACTTCAGTTGTGCCTGACTCTGTGCGACCCCATAGATGGCAGCCCACCAGGCTCCCCCGTCCCTGGGATTCTCCAGGCAAGAACACTGGAGTGGGTTGCCATTTCCTTCTCCAGTGCATGAAAGTGAAAAGTGAAAGTGAAGTCGCTCAGTCGTGTCCGACCCTCAGCGACCCCATGGACTGCAGCCCACCAGGCTCCTCCGTCCATGGGATTCTCCAGGCAAGAGTACTGGAGTGGGGTGCCATGGCCTTGATATATATAAATATATAAATATCTGTAATATGTCTATATTACTGGTACATATGTATGTACATGCTCAGTCACTTCAATCATGTCTAACTCCTTATAACCCATTGGACTGTAGCCCACCAGGCTCCTCTGTCCATGGAGTTCTCCAGGGGAGAATACTGGAGTGGGTTGCCTTGTCCTCCTCCAGGGGATCTTCCTGACCCAGGGATTGAATCCAGGTTTCCTTTGTCTCCTGCATTGCAGGCAGATTCTTTGCTGTTGAGTCACTGGGGAAGCCCATGTATGTAAATATATAATAAAAATTTACATATTATATAAACATATATTATCATATAGATTGTATATAAATATATATCCAAAATAGGTAAAAATCTTCTGCAACTCAATAACAAAAATACAAACAACCTGGTGAAAACATGGGCAGAGGAACTCAATAGATATTTTTCTAAAGGAGGCATACAGATAGCCAACAGATACATGAAAAAGTGTTCAACACAACTAATCATCAGAAAAATACAAGTCACAACTCTACTGAGATATGACCTCACACCTGTTTGAACGGCTGTCATCAAGAAGACAAGAGATGACAAATGAACAACAGAGGGCTTTTTGTACTATGGGTGGGAATATGAACTTGTGCAGCCCCTATGGAGAATAGTACAGATGTTCCTCAAAAAACGAAAAACAGAGCTAAAGCTAATAAGACCCAGCAATTCTACTTCTGTTTGTAAATCCAAAGGAAATAAAATCATGACTCTGAAAGGATATCTTCACCCCTATATTCACTGGAGCATTTACAGTAGCCTAGACATAGAAACAACTTACATGTCCATCGATAGATAAATGGATAATGAAATTAATGTATGACTGTTATCAACCATAAGGAAGGAAATCTTGCCATTCGTGATATAATAGATAGACTTTGAGAATATTATGCTAAGTGAAATGAAAAATAATTAAGTGAAATAATAAATAAAAAAATAATTCAGAGAAAGAAAAATACTTTATGACCTCACTTGCATGTGGAATTTAAAAGAAAATGAGCTCATAGAAACAGCCCGGTTTGCTAGTTGCCGGCGGTGTGGGTGGAGGGCAGGGGAGACGGGTGAAGGCAGTCAAAGGTACGAAAATAAAAGCCATGCCCTGGATGTTTTTCACGTATGCGTATGTATATTTACACTGTAAAAGAATCTCTCCTAATATTACAGTCTGCTAATAGTCCGGTTTAATAGAAGTCAGTCATGATACAGGGAGATTTTGAGTTAGAAAGCCCTGGCTTGTCTCAGCTCTGCAAATTATTAATTGTGTGAATTAACCTTTCTAACCCTCAGTTTTTCTCACTTGTTCCTTCAAACATCAAATATTTATTTAACACCCTTAATGTGATAATCACTATTCTTACCCCTAAAATACAGTGGTAAACATTTGAGAAAGATGACCCTCATCCTAATAAGATTCCAATACTCTTGTACAAAAAATGAACAGGTTAAAAAGTAAAGAGTTAAGATGAAATTGTTTTACCAATTATGTAGAAAATAAGGTAATTTGGAAATGATTAGGCTGTGTTTAGGGGTTGAGGAATCTAGTTTAGATAGGATAGATGACGAGGACTCTGAAGTGATAATAGTTTTGCCCAAACTTTTTTTTTCATTTATTTTTATTAGTTGGAGGCTAATTACTTTACAATATTGTAGTGGTTTTTGCCATACACTGACATGAATCAGCCATGGATTTACATGTGTTCCCCATCCCGATCCCCCCTCCCGCCTCCCTCCCCATCCCATCCCTCTGGATCTTCCCAGGGCACCAGCCCTGAGCACTTGTCTCATGCATCCAACCTGGGCTGGTGATCTGTTTCACCCTTGATAGTATACTTGTTTCAATGCTGTTCTCTNCCTGAGCACTTGTCTCATGCATCCAACCTGGGCTGGTGATCTGTTTCACCCTTGATAGTATACTTGTTTCAATGCTGTTCTCTCAGTTCATCCCACCCTCGCCTTCTCCCACAGAGTCCCAAAGTCTGTTCTGTACATCTGTGTCTCTTTTTCTGTTTTGCATATTGGGTTATCGTTACCATCTTTTTAAACGCTCAAACTTTTATAATGAGAAGTGCCAATCATGAGAGACTAGAAAGAAAAAAAAATAGATTCAAACAGAGAACAGCAAGGGACAAATTTTTCTTTGAGAAAATGGATGTCAGAGAAATAAAGTGAAGCCCAATTTGCTCTGAAATCCCCTGCCAAAATATCAAATTATCAAAATGAGGTTCCTGAAAACATTAAGTTAATGAATGTGAAAGTGTTTTTCCCATGTGCAATGCATGATCCTTCAAAGAACCCCTTCAGTGCACTTCTGGAAAAATATAATTAGCATGTGACTTTATCATTTAGCAATCGATTGCATCCTAAGTAGCTGAAGCCTGAAGTAGAGTGGCAGAACACTGAGACCTTTCACTAGGTTGCTGCTTTAATCATTTACCGGGGAGGTCCTGGTGTCAGGTCCTATTCAGATATGAGTACTTGCAGGAGTTGCTTTAGGTATGTGACTGGGGAAGGAGCCATACATTACTTGGTGAATCTGAAGATATTTTCAATATTGATAAGCATTTG